CACCTCCTGGGCTCAAGCGATCCTCCCACATCAGCCTTAGGAACCACAGGGATCTGTGGGACCACAGGCACACGCGTACGCCTCGTTAATTTTGAAATTTTTTTTGTTAGAGATGGGGTTTACTATGCTGGCCAGGCTGATCTTGAACTCCTGGGTTTAAGTGATCCTCTAGCCTCAGCCTCCCAAAGTGCTGGGATTACAGGTGTGAGCCACGACGCCCGTCCCTGAGACAGGGTCTCTATAGAGGTCATCAGGTTCAGATGAGGTCATTAGGGTAGGCTCTAGTTCAGTATGACTGGTGTCCTCATAAAAAAGGGGAAATGTGGAGATGGAGACAGACACCCACAGAGGCCAGGTGATGTAAAGAGAAACACCCACATCCTCCTCTGACCATCTACAAGCTCAGAAAAGAGATCCGGAACAGCTCCTTCCCTCACAGCTATCAGAAGGGAGCAACCCTGCAGGCATCCTCATCTTGGACTTCCCAGTTTCAGAACTTGCAGAAAAGAAATTTAAGCCACCTGGTGTGTGATACTTTGTTACAGCAACCCTGGCAAACTAATAGAGCAGGGAGGAGAAAGGCACTCAAACTTCTTGGTTCAGAAATTGTTTTTTTAAAGAAGAGGGATGTGGTGTGCATGCACATGCACATTTGCAGAGATGGGTGGCTATCAACCCTCAGGAGCTCCTCACTCCTGCTGCCTTCACCCAGCAGAACACAGTAGCCCAGAGACTCATTTGCTCTGCCCTTGACAGCTTGGAATGAGAATTAGGATGTGTTGAATACTGCTTTTCCTGCAGAGTGGACCCTACCCACCCCCCCCCCGCCACCCCCCCCCCACCTTTTTTTTTTTTTTTTTTTTTTTTTTTTTTTTTTTTTTGCATCTCCGGCCCAGAAGAGTGAATCTGCCACTTGCCAGACCCAAGGTGAGATCTCCCCAACTCCCACCCCGCTCCTCCTCCAGGCACAGGCCCTGTCCTGGGACCACTGATTCTCACGTCAGGGAGAGATTTCTGTTGTTTTTTTTTCCCAGGTCTCCCAGTAGGCTCTGCTAGAGCCCTGGAAACCGTACCAGCTCTCCCAGGGCCTTAGCAAAACATGCGGTGTTTGTCCTCTCCACTCACCGGCTATAAAAGTTTGGAGCTGTATCCCTGAATTATGAAGGGTCCCAAGATGTGCACTCATCTGAGGGGCTGGTGGGGGCTCTGTTTCTTTCCGGGGCACTGGCTGAGCTGGCTTTGCAAAGTCAAAACAAGATTCATTACCCTGGGGCCGGGAGCAGGGAGATACGCCGCCTGACCCTGCAGACCTGCCCCATATGTCATGGGCCTGTCAGAAATCTCCCAGAATTCCCTTTATTATCTAAAGGTCGCCACCCGGGCAGAGCTGGGAGAGCCACATGGTATAAACTAAACTGCAAGAGCAATCAATTTCAAGCAGCTGCCTTCCCTGCTCCCCCGTCCCCTGCTCCCCCTTCCTTAGGCTCTGTCCTCTTCAACCCCCTTTGGGGGAGGGTCAGGAAGGAGCCCTGCTTTGCCATGGCCACCTTCCCACTGGGTCAGAAAGAATTTCTCCAAATTAACAGGGGTCTGACGCTATGAGAAGCAGGCCTTGGGAGCACTCCTGCCTTCTGTTCTAAGGGAGTCCGAGAAAGGTCACGCTGCCTCTTCCGTGATTCTAGCAGGACCCTATTTAAACCATCTTATCAGTTGAGTTACTTTTCTGGTAGACATTATGGGATTAAAGGACAGAAAAAGGCATTTTCAGTCCCCTTCCAAAGGCAGGAAAAGGCAGTAAGAGTAGGCATATGGCTTTGCTAAGCCAAGTCAAGATTCATATCAGCACATCTCATACTGTGATGGCCCCATGAGTAGCAAATTACTAGCAACTCTCATTTGTTTTCTAGAAAAAACACAATGAAGAGTAGCTACTACTATTATTATTATTATTTATTAACTAACTGCCACATGGTGCTATGCTAGACGCCCTTCTACGCTACCCATAGTTTTGTGATGACCTTGCAAGGTGAGCAAGACCATCCCCATTTCAAAGATGAAGAAATGAAGTCTCAGGAAGCCTAGCTTGACAAGCATCAGCTGGGAAGCCAAGATTTCTGAGGCCCATGCGTTCCCTATTCTTCTACACGGCCTAGATTTTTAAGACGTATTTTTCAGCCAAATCTTCTTATCACTGGTCTGGGAGAACTCACCAGAATGTTAAGTAAGACTTGGCAAGTACTTTATTTTAAAGGTCAAAACTTGAGGCTCCACAGTTTCGTTTATGTCTACCCTGAGCTGATCCTTTATTTTGGTAACCAGGCAGTCTGGGATGGGGCACACAGGAGCCGTGGGTATCAAGCACCAGGTGGAATCCAGGGTTTTCTTTTTGTGGCAAGAGGCTTGCTAGCTTGGCAGCCGCCTTTCAGAGCAATTCCAAATGCTCTTTCCAAAGAGTCTGGAAATGTCTCTCATCCTAGCTTCACTGTACAAGGGAGAGCCAGGGACTCGTCGAGGTTGAGATGGGGCAGGAGAGTCAGCTTAAAAAGTGCTCAACTAAATGGTTAAATAAATTACGGTTACTCCATCTCATGGCATATTATACTGCCATGAAACATAACGTTTTCAAAAAATAATGACACTGCTCTAATGTACACTAGTGGGAGGGAAAAGGAGGAACAAAGAGGCAGTAAGAAAAAACCAGAACAAAGCACCAGGCGTTCATGTCAACCCTCAGTCCACGAGCTGACCCTAAAACCCCACTTACTCTCCTTTGAAGCCATCCACAACTTTTTCTTCTTGAAGAAAAATGTTAATGGCTCCCAGGAGACCCAGGAGAGCGAACTTCCCGCTTTCTTTTGCAGACCTTCCTCTCTACCTTCAGTGGCCTCATGTGGCCAGCCACCGAAGTGCTCTAGGGACAAGGATCGTTCCCAATCCCTGATGCATCCTCTCCATCTCAGGGAGAGTGGCCATTAGTGCCAGATGATGTGCAGTGTTTAGTACTGCTCGCTTACAGAAGTTAGGGTCCCCTAAAGGGCAAGGCTCTTCACCAGGAATCCCCGTGCTGTCTCCCTGAAAATAATGCTTGTAAGACAGTCACATTGTCACCATCCAGGCCTTCCTGAGACAGACCCTGGTGAAAGCCATTGGCAGCCAAGATCCAGCCACCGATCTCCTGCAAGTTGTCTCTTGCTGCCTCATTTCTTGTGCCTCAGACTCATTGTCTAACTTTGCCAGGCACATGGCCAAGGTGTGAAATTCACCTATGGAAATACCTTCTATGGCCCCTTGCTGTTGCCCAGATAGACTCAGCACTGCTCAGCACCCAAGTTCAAGTCCTTCCCCAGCTGGCTCTTCTGTCTTTCTCCAACCTCAATGCCCACCTCTCCCAACAAACTGGTTGGTCCGCTGAGTCCCCAAAACACCCTGCCCTGGAATGCTTGTTTCCACGTCCTTCTTTGCCTATCCATACCCAGCCCATATTTCAATGCCTCGTAAACCCCTAAGCCCTCTCCACCTCCAATCTCCTTTCTCTCCTCCAAAGTCAATTAAAAACTGCTGGTTTGAGCACACACTGATTGTAGCACACACTACATTGCAGCATTGACTGTCTTCCTTATGTGACTGTTTCCTATCTCCCCATTGAATTAGAGGCTCTTTGGAGGCAGGAAGTATATTTCATACGTCTTGGTATCTGTGATGGGCTAACATGATAACTCTCACTCAAAATCGTGCTCAGCCTGAATTGTCCAGAGCAGCGAGAGAGGGGGCCCAGTTGCTCATTTGCTTTTCCTCAGCAGACACCGTTCCTGCTAGGCTGCCTCGAGAAATGATTTGAACTAATACGTTTGGCTCAGGGATCTGTCATGACTGCTCTGTAGGAGGTAGTGAAGAAGGAGGTGAACCATTTGGGAAGGATTCTGGCTATTATTCGTCTCGAGCCCACTGGGTGAGGTTAGATGGGTGAGATGGGAAGAAAGATGAAGAAGAATGGGAAGATACCACTCTGTCTTTGAAGAATGTATAACCCAGACTTGTGCAGGAAAGGTCTTTGCAAGAGATCTCCAGAGCCACTAACCATATAACATCATGGACCACATAAAAAGCATATAATAGGTTGGGCGTGGTGGCTCACGCCTGTAATCCCAGCACTTTGGGAGGCCAAGGTAGGCAGATCACAAGATCAGGAGATCAAGACCATCCTGGCCAACATGGTGAAACCCCGTGTCTACTAAAATACAAAAAAAAAAAAAAAAAAAAAAAAAATAGCTGGGTGTGGTGGCACATGCCTGTAGTCCCAGCTACTCGGGAGGCTGAGGTAGGGGAATTGCTTCAACCTGGGAGGCGGAGGTTACAGTGAGCCGAGATCGCGCCACTGCACTCTAGCCTGGTGACAGAGCAAGACTGACCAAAAAAAGCATATAATAATAAAAAATGACAAATTCCAACAGAGTGGGGTTGGTGGTGGGGGAAGTCCCCTTGTAAGTTTTCAGAACAGGTTCTTCAACAAGGAGGTCAAGCTTATAGTGCTGGATGGTGCAGAGAAGAAAAGACCTTGGCCTTTGGAGACAGACCTGGGGTCAAGTCTCATTCTATCACTTACGAGTTTGGCGACCTTGAACACATTATTAAACCTTTTGGAGCCTCACTTTCCTCAGCTGTCAAATGACACCTCACAGCGTTGTGGTGAGAATCAATGGGATAATGGACATGAAATTGTTTTGTAAACTCTAGAGCTCTGAGTAAACACCAGTTACTCGTGTTTCTTTCTGCTTTTGGAGAAACACTGTGCAAGGACATCATCTCCTTGGCTGCCTTATATGACGGTGACAAACTCTGAGGGTTCTGTTTTAGCTCGAGAGAGCAGTGATCATTGTGTAGCAGAATGTGTGACCAGCGCCTGCCTCCCGAGATCCAGTTCTCTCTGAAGAAACAGACAGAGTGCTGCTGGTCCCACCTTCTCCCCACGCTGACCTGAGCTCTTGAGTAGCCGTTCCTACCAGTTCTCTCGGTGGTCCCATGACGTCAAGGCCACCCCTCCTCTCATGGCCCTGAGGTGATTTAGGACCACTTGTGTTGCTCTTGCTGGTTTGCCCAGGCACCTGTGGCAGCACAGAAGGGCGTAGAGGAGGAAAGCAGAAAACTGGTCCGGAGGAGGAGGAGGAGATGCTGAGATACCAGCTGGCTGGGCTGGGGCCTTGCATTCTCTGGGCCTTTCCCATATAGGTCCTCGGTACACAGAATGAAGTTCCTCTGCCTTCTTTGTCTTTCCCTGCCTCTCTTTCACGCTAGTGCCTTTCTGAACCAACAGCCAGCCTTCCTATGAAAAAGCTCTAACTCCTTTTCAGGAGGAAGCTTCTTAAGTAGGCTGTGTCCCCACCCTGTATCTTCCCACCTGCAGCATCTATTATTTTTCCCTCTTTGTCTGAGACTCTCAGCGCTTGCAGAAGAGATCCTCAGCTGTCAGGCAGCTTCTCCTAAGTAACTGGCACGCTCACACTCACGCACACCAAGCAAGGGGAGTGCCATGGAGCTGGATTAAAGAGGCACGTGGAAACTAGGGGGCGGCTGGGACTCCAGACAGAGGTCTGACCACTTAAAGGGCTTTTCTGTGCTAAGATGTACAGGCACTTGGCCTGGAGGACCCTTAAGCACCTGGAGTGGTATCAGCCCCTTGGTGAGGGAGTACAGGAAATGGACATTTGAGATCCTCGAGGCCCTATCAGTCCAGCCCCGGACCTCTCCGATCCCTCAGCCCACTGTGAGGGAGAGTGAAGGGCACAGTTTTCAGAGAGGCTGAGACAGGGAGAAGAATGTGCTGATGGGGAGCAGGGTGGGAATGGCAGGCCTGGGAGGGAGGACCTGGGGCAGGAGATGAAAAGAGCTCCCTGAGTGAGAATCTGGCCGTGGATGATGAATGGGGTGTGAGAGAGAAGCAGGGGAAAAGGGTAAACAGCCAGGAGGGACCCAGGAGGGAAGCGGGAGGGAGGGGTTAGGAGAAAGAATGTGGAGGTCAAGGAGCAAAGAAAATGCTCCTGGAGTGATTGACTCAAGATCCAACATGTCCCACACCGGATGAAGGCACATGTGCGCGCAGATGTGCGGGGTCACCCGCCCTCCCTCCACACCCCCGCCAAGGTGTGAGCACGTCTGTCTGCTTCCCTCCCAGATGCATTCCGTGCCCTCTGGAAAAGATTTCTTCTGATGTTTGGCTCTGAATCTGAAAAGGACCCCATTGTAATATGAACAAGCATTTGTGCAGTGATTTTATAGTTTCCTAAAAATTTCATATGCATCATCTCACTAATGTGCCCCTTCCGCAAGCTGGTGAAGTTGAGAGCAGCATTCACATTGCCAGTTTACAGGTGAGAGGACTTAGGTATCTTTGAGGCTGAATATTTTGGCAAAGGCACCAGATGTGAAAGTGGGACTTGGACTTGGGGGGGTCCTGGAGTTAAACATGTCACTTTGATTCTCTGCTGCCTCACGTTGCAGGTGCCACCAACTTGGCATCTGTATCTTGGAAGAGATCACTTACTCAAGAGGACACTCTCCGCCTGCACATAAGCAAGATTCTGCCCATAGTTGGGATATCCTGTTACTACTCTTTGTGAATGGAGGTGAGGTCTAAGGAGTTGTGACTCAGTTGAATTCTTGGGGACCCCTTGTGAACCTTGAGAGGAAAAGGCCTGGGGCTGGGAGCTGCTGGCTATCCACTGAATGCCATTTGGCTCTTACCCAGTTCTGGCGGGTGGGAAGGAGGGCTGGGGAGGGGCTGAGGCCTGGACATGGTCCCAGGGGCCTGCACAGGTGGTGGCAGATAGAAAGGATGCAAAAGCACAAATCTGTAGGGAGCGACCACTGTGCCAGTCTCCCTCTCCCCAGCGGGCCCTTTATTGTGGGCAAGAATGCTAGCCGCCAGCAACCCCTCTGAAGACCTCTGCAGTCCCTGCAGCCAGCCCAAGCGTGCAGGAGGCTCCTACCTAGCTCAGACTCCTCTTCCTTACCCATCTCCTTCCAGATCTCAGCCCTGGCCCTGCTGCTCTTCAATTCCTGACAGTGGCAGATCACTGATTAATTCAGGGCTGTTTAATAACCCTTCTATTTCGATGAAACAAGCTGTCTTGTTTTCTTTAGTTTTAACACTGACTTTCGTTTCTTTGCTAAGCATCTTACTGTCATTTAAATTTCTCTGTCTCCAACCAAGCTGATAATAGACTGGAGAGAGCAGCTGCTTCCGTCCTGTTTATGACAATGATTAGAAGTTAGAGCTGTGCAAGCAGAGAATTGACCAAATCTCAGTTCAGAGGGGTCTGCCCCTGCTTGTAGAGAGAGTGTTAATTTTAACATGATTAGGAGAATTCTAACTCCAGAGGAGACCAGGGCTAATCCCAGCCTTGCCTTCCAGGCACCCTGCTCAGAGGAGACTGCCATGGGCCTGAAGGTATGAGAACCAACTTTACTTACTTTGGAATTAAATTATATGGACCTGACACTCCGCTTCATAACAGAGCCTTTTCCTCCACTGAATTTGAATTTACTGGGCAGCAAAGAGGGAGACTCAAACATAGAGGATTTAGGGTGGGTGGGGACCTCAGCTATCAGCTATGGTATCTTTCTGCTCTATGCAGAAATCTTTTCTCAAGATCTGGCCATCTTCTAGCCTCTGCTTGAATTCCCTTAATGTAGAGACCATTTCCTCCCTATATAGCCCTTCCAGGCTGGGATAACTCTGGTTAATTTCTCCCCTCCTGTCTTCTTGCGACTTGGAGGACCATGATTTGTGTTCATACCCTCTCTTGCCATGTTGAACTCTCCTCAAGAGCCTGGAAAATGACTTGTTTCCCCCCATCATACTCGGTATGTGGATATTCTATAAACACTTGTTCAGTCAAATGAAATTATGCTGCATCAACTTTTAAATTCCTTGCAAGGAATGTACCTTTCTTCTCCCAGGTGAAGCTTCCTATTTTTCTCTATGCAGACAAATGTTGCCTCTTCCCATCCCTGGGCCAGACATGGCTGCTTCCCCATGGCGTTACTTTTTCTTCCAAGCCCCCAGGGACTGCACAGTTGGTGGCAAACTTGGCCAAGGAAGCTGTGAGTATGCAGTGGAAGTCAATCGGGCAGCCTAGACCAGGTTCTCTGGATCCCAGCCCCCCTCATTCCCTCCAGGTCAGTCACAGCTGCCTGAGAATGCTCCCAGGTGCATGGTGTGCAAACCCAGGCTGGGCCGACCCTCCCTGCCTCTGATTCCCTCGCAGCCTTGTGAGACTGGAGCTGTCTGCGCCTCCCAGCCAGCACAGTCTGCAGGCAGCTGCTTGGGTCATTGTCTCAGCCTCTTCAAGTTGTGAATGCTGAGTCTATAGAGACTGAAACACAAACAGTGCCCACAGTGCCTCTCGGGGAGGGAGGGGCAGCTTGGCCTTGCCAGAGCCATTGACTGTGCAAATATCAAGGCTTGCTGTGGATGGAGGAAAGCTGGTTGGAGCTATTTAAAAGGGGGGGCCTTTTTACACCACACTGCCCAGCACCATGGAAGGGCCATGGTGAGTGCTATGGGCCGGCAGATGGGCAGAGAAGAGGAAAGGTCAGTTCTCACAGGGAATACTGCTTCATCGGGAGATGCCTGTCTGCTCAAAACCAAGGGAGATAGAGATGGGGGAGGTCACTGGGCACCATGCAGGGGACAAGAGACCGGAAAGGAAAAAGTGGCTCAGTGGGCAGATCAAGAGAGTGTGGGAGAGGAGGCTGGGGCAGACAAACCTCCTAGCAATTGGAGGGCAATGAATGGCAGCTTGCTGTGTGACTCAGGACAATGCTCTTACCCAGTTTGGACTTAGGCTTCACATCTACTCTGTGGGCCTGGGTAAAAGCTACCATCAAATACTCAAAACATTTCCCAAGTATTCTACACCGAACACCTATTTATTCTGCAATTCAAACTCTTAAAAAATGATATTTAGAAAGGAAAATCAAGACATCTTGCCTCCCCTCCCCCATTTTCTGCAGCAGGCTCTTGGACAGTGCTGTGGGGTGTTTAGGACCCTCCTCTCACAGGCCCCTTGCCACTCTCTGCACTTCTAACAGACAGAAGGCCCCCTGCAGTGCTTGGGGAGCTTCTTGATCTACTAGAAGGCAGCTGATGCTTCTCCCCAGACATCCTGCTATGTTTTGATGGATGATCAGTGCTACCAAGGATCTGACCCCTGAGCTCCAGGGTCCATCTCGGGCTCCTGAACTCCACTCCTAACACACTCTGTGATGTATGTGCTCCCTCCATGTCCCCACCCCTAGGAGCTTTCTCTGCAGGAGAGATGCAAGCCCTGTTGTAGCCAGACACCCATGAGCTCTGCCTTTCCTTCTTCCATGAAGGGTTGACTCCAATAGCAGTGCCAACGTACCAGTCCCATAGCAGTGTCATTCAGTCATTCATCTCCACTCTTAGAGCTGAAGGCACTAAAAACCTAAAGGTGGCAAAGTCAGAATTCAAATTCCAATCCCACGGCTAAATGCTGACCACAAGCCCTGCATGCGGCCTCACTGAAGGTCCCCGGTTGATTCTCTATTTCCAGTCTTCAGCAAGTCTTCAGCCCTTTATAATTTAGCATACAGATTTTCTTTGACTAAAATCTTACTCTTTCTCAGAAAATTCCAAACAAATTTGGAGAGCAGGAGGAAAAATAACCCTAGTTTTGCTGCTACCTGTTCCAAGACTTCAAATACTTTTCTCTGTTTGCAGCACTTGTCATTTTTCCATCTCCCCTAACACCGCCTTCCTGGGCCTGGCTCCAGACACCAAATACAGGTGAGAGTGCTTGAGTATTCACCCCATTCTACAGACGGAGAAACCAAGGTGCTGGCTAAGGGGCACGAGGCAGTTCTGCCAGAGCATAACTAACCTCTTATCTTCCTCCTGGGACCAGGGAACAAATGGAGGGTGAGCACTGGTCCACAGGTGAGAAGTCTTTAGGAAGCGGGAAGGGCTGCAAGTGTGAAGGCAGGCACTTAGCTCCTGCTTGTTAGGACCCGGTTCTTTAACACCCGCTCTTCCTGACCATCTGCTCTCAATAGTCTCAGAGGAGCCTAAACCTCCTGCAGG